GTGTGTGTGTGTGTGGTGGTGGTGGTGGTGTTGGTGGTGTGTGTGTGTGTGTGTGTGGTGGTGGTGGTGGTGGTGTTGGTGGTGTGTGTGTGTGTGTGTGTGTCCGCTGATGTGCCTGCAAGACTGCATGAATATGTGTCACCATGTGAGAGGTTAGCTGTTCCTTCGGCTGGGAGAGTGGCTGTGTGGAGCTCTGCGAATCCTCCTTCAGCTGTACCGGTGGCTGTCTCTGTCCCCTCCTCACCTCCGCCCAGCCAGGAGCCAATACAGGGCGGCAAGGATAGGGTGAGAGATGCTCACACTGGGGTTTGAGGGTTTCTGGAGTCTGATTTTAATAAATGTACTATAGTGATAGTCCTTGTATTTAGAAGACACGCTGATATATTTATGGATAAAAGAACGTGACATCTGGAAATGACTACCAAATGGTTCGGACAAAAATATGTATATAGTGAGAAAGATCAAACAAAAGCGAAAAATATTAATTGACAACTTTATAAGGGCATATGAAAGTTCTATTTTAGGGGGCAACTTCTCTGTGTAAGTATAGTTATTATACCAAGATAAAATTTTAAAAAATCAGTGTTATGAAACTATTCTTAAGACACTAAAGGGACATAACCAATTAAAATACATGAACCTTAAACATATAAAATGTGATAACCAGAAGAAATTTAAAATACCTTCCCTATTCTGAGAGCAGTAATAGTGTTATTGTTCTTTTGAAACCATTTTAAGTATATTTTAGGGTAAAACAAATGAATTATATTAATGTTGTTGGCAATTGAGACAGTATAAAAGGAGAGGTACAAGTATAAAATCAAATAAGAAAAAAACCATTATCTTGGGCTGAGAGGAAACACAATTTTGAAATCATTATTTATGGTTTGTACATCAAAAATTAGTTTTTATTGGATTTGTCAAATGAAAAGGCCTAGAGAAAACTGACAGCCCTTTGACAATGAATACTAATATACAGCCTGTGGTCTCCATATGCCGGGCCCTCAAGAGGATTCAGAACTCCTTAGACAAATGGCTTATTTCAGGTCTGGCACAGCAAGTGTACAAGGTGAACTTGTGCTAGGAAGCAAATAAGCTATCGATTCCAATAGAATCACATCAGAAAGACTTGGATGCTGACCAGAAAGGGCTCCCACTGGCTGAAGAGAGGGCAGTTTGAGATAAAAAATAAGAGAAGTTCTTATTTACAGAACTCCAGTTAAGAAATACAGAAGGATTACAATGCTTTGAAACATATCAAATCTCTCTTTAAAAAACCATGCGTCTCATGGTACTGAAAACAAACACTTTCGGGACTCTTTTGGAGGTTGTAGAACACCACCTCATTTCTCTGAAAACTAATATATACATATTAAGAATAAAGTAGATTATCCTGCCTTTCCTATATGAACTGAAATTTTTTTTAGGAGAACAAGGACTTTATTATTCTTGTCATGGCAAGCAGCATGAGTATCAGCCTCGCTGCATCGGGTTCTCCGGTCCCCAAGTACCATGAAGGTGGCATGAATGGACCCAGGGAGATGCCCACATGCATGCCGTGGGCTGCACTATGGGGCAGGGACCACGAACTTAGGAAAGCCCTATCTTTTCTAATGGGCAGTAAGCCTGCTTGACCTTTGCTCCAGGGAGGGATACGGTCTCTCTCTCCCATATGAACTGAATTTTATAAATAGTTGATGAAGAGAAGTTCTTATTTACAGAACTCCAGTTAAGAAATATAGAAGGAATTGACAGAATTTTTAAAAATCACTATATGTAACCTTTAATAAATAACAAGTTTCAGCATCAATCATAAATGGATGTCATATAAACTTTAGGTCTTTTGTTTCTTAATTTTTATTTCATTAGTAGTTCCCAAAGAGGCTTTTGCAATAGCTTTTCCCCTCAGTGCTACTCCTTACCCATGACATTTTCATACCATGAATGAATTACACGTTTATGTACTGTGATCCTTGGAGGGCCACAAACAAGAGCTTTGTCCCCTCACTACCGAAAATCAAGTTTCAGCCCCTTGGGGGTAATATCCCTGCTTCCACTAGTGAGAATGCTTTAGGTGAAAAGAGAAGGGGGAACTTTTTAAAGGAAGGATTAAGTGGGCTGCAACTGAATACTGATCAGTATGGCATCACCTGAAGTAGGACACCAGACTTTAAAAGCCTTAGGATATGATGTAATAGGAAGTACACAGCACCATCTATGAATTATCTTGGCTTGAAAATGTGATTTAGGAAAATACGGTCTGAATCTGACCAAGTGTCTAAATCTAACTGCCCGTTTACCCAAATACGAGGAGTAGGGGGACAAATCATCTGACACCATAAGGGGGCACCCAGGCGACAGAAGAATGGAGGATATTCTACAGGACAATTACCTAGTGTTCCTGCAAACCACTGGCACCAATTAAAACAAAAGCAAAAAATAGGGAAACTGTTATAGATTAAGGAAATTTAAGAGGTTTGGCAACCAAATGCATGGTGTGGACTTTATCTGGATCATGATATGAACAAATCAATTGTAAAAATGTATCTTCAAATTATCTATCTTCTGAAGAATTAGGAAAATTTTAATAAGTACTAGGTTTATGGTATTATGGAATTATTGTTTAATTTTAAATTGGGGTAGCATCATAGTGGTTATTTAAAAATATGATGCCCTTTTTGGTTACATATACATACACGGGGATAAAATAATTTTTTAAATACTACCGAATATGGGGAAGGAGAGATATAAGGACATTTGGAAAAGTTTGGAATTATAGCTGGGTGACACACATTGGAGTTGGTATTATTTATAACTCCTTGAAATTTTCCATGGCAAAGTTAAAATAAAAGGCTTCACATTTCTTCCAGAAGTTATAGTTATCTTTCATCAAAAATCTTAGACTAGGAAGGGCTGATTTGTCATTGGGTGGAAAGCAGAGTTGTAATGTGGTCGGGGTGGAGTTTGACTAGTGAGCCAATTTGTGAAGTGCCATCATTCACGGGGAGAGCAATGCCCACGGACAAGTCACTGAATGGCTCGTTCATTCTTAGTGATGTTGCAAGACAAAAGAACATCTTGAAAACTAAGAAACTGGAGGGAAGAAAGAAAAGAGCGATTTATCGTAGGCAAGCATTTTAGATGTGCAATATTCTTTCCCTTTCCTCTGTGTGCCTTTGTTGGAAAAAGTAGATCGAGAGGAAAGAATCGTATGATATCAAGCGTTTCCCAGGGCGACAAAACAATTTAGGACCATCACCCACCGCCACCTCAGGTGAAAGAGAGAAACCATTCCCCTCCTCCCCACACCACGGGGCTCTCAGTGGCTGAAGGGGGCCTGTTATTCTGGGGCCTTACCCCCTCCGACGTCACTTCCAGGTGTAAATCGTCATCACGGAGGTCTCTTCACAAAGCCTCGTTCTCTGAACAGTGAGGAGAAGCAACAGCAGCAGCTGGAACCGCGCGGTTCTCAGCTGACGGGACTCTGTCCCTGTCCCACGGGGGTGAGTTCACGGGCGCGCAGGGTCCCTGCAACCAGAGGCGTCAGAAGGCAGGTGAGCCCGCCCCGCCGTCACAGAGGCGACGCGCACGCGCAGCGCGGCAGACTGTTAATGGGCACATCTCCCACCTCGCGCCTGCGTGGAACCCAGGCGCGGGGCCGAGTTCACCGCTGGAAACGGGGGCGGAGGGCGCGTTCACCCCGGCAGCGCGAGGGGTCCCAGTCAGGCCAGACCGCCGCCGCCCCCCCGCCCCCGAGGGGCGGGGCCGATTCCGCCCGCGGAGAAGGGCACAGCCATTCCGCGCCCGCACGGTCGACCCCGCTGGGAATTAACCCGGAGCTCCTCGGAATCGGAGCGCCGGAGTCCAGAGCCGGGATCGTCCCGACTGCCGCGGGTACCGGGGCCCAGACGGCAACATAAACCTTTGGGATTGTGTGTGAGACTGTGTAGGGGATGGGGTGACAACAACTCTGAGGGTGACGTCTGGGATTAATCAGACGCTGCGACTGAGCATTTTATAACTTGTAAGAAAACGGTTTTTCTTTCCATGATTCTGAATTTAGAATAGATTCCTGTGGTGCTATGGAATTGTTAAGTGCGTAATTCATGAGAATTCACCAATAGCAGAGAATGTGAGAGGAGTGGTGTGTGAACGTAGTATTGTGAGAATGGGTATGAATGTGTGGAGCTCTATGTAATAATGGTATCTCTAACTTAAGTTTCCTCAACTGTAACATGAGGGTAACATTTGTGTGATGTTTTGAAGCAGCGCTGTAGAATACAACTTTCTGCAAAAGTGGTTTCTGTATTCCATATCTGTTCTGTAGGGTCCCTGCAGCCAGAGGCGTCAGAAGGCAGGTGAGCACGCCCCGCCGTCACAGAGGCGACGCGCACGCGCAGCGCAGTGGACCGTTAATGGGCGCGTCTGTATTGTATTGTAGCCACTGGCCACATATGGCTATTGAGCACAATATGTGGGAAGTTTGAGGAACTGAATTTTTAATTTTGTTCAATTTTTAAAAATTTATATTGAAACAGCTATGTAAATGGCACAGCACAATCTGAGATCAAGGTGCCATCAATATTCGGTGGGGAAGAAACCTACATAATTTAATCTAGCAAATAATTTGGAAAATGAGTTTTATATTGAAATGAAGAGACAAAAAGCCAAATGAAGAGAGAAAGAAAAGAAGCCTAAAATAGTTATTATCTGGTCCTCTGCAGGAAAAGTTTGCTGACTCCCAATCTGTATGATCGTTCTGAACAGCTACATTTTCTATTTTATAGATACACTGCAATTTGTTTAACTTGTTTGTTATTGAAGGAAATTTAGGTTCTTTCCAGCTTTTTCCTTTCTAAGATAAGTTTGAGAGAAGGACATACCATATGATTTCATTTATACATGAAGTCTAAAAATCAAACCAAATAAACAAGCAGAACAAAAGTAAGCACAAAGAATAGACTGGTGGTCGCCACTGGGGAGAGGGTGAAGGATGGGTGAAATATGTGTGAGGGATGAAGAGGCACAAGCATCCAATTATAAAATAAATTAGTTATCAGGCAGTGCAGAATAAGAAATGCAGTTAGTAATATTGTAATGTATTCCTTTGTTGACAGGTGGCAGCTACACTTATGGTGTTAAGCATTTAGTAATGCTTACAGTGGTATCACTATTTCATGTAACTAAAACCAGTATAATACTATCAGCTATATTTCATTTAAACATAAATAAATAATAAATGAAAGTAAGTCTGTACTTACTTTCTGTGGATATATCTTTCTGCATATATCTTTCTGTGGATAGGGTTCATACATAATTTTTCTTTTCTTCAGACAGGTTCTTGAAATGAGATTACCTGGCTGGCTTTGTTAAATTCTGGTAATAAGAATTCAATCTGCAGGTGTAGTAAATGTTAAATGTCATTTATTGCTTTAACATTCATTTGCTTAATTAGTAACAATGTTAAATATCTTTGGGTAGAGTACTTGTGTTATTATTCAGGCTCAGGATTCACCTGTCTGTTATAGTAAGAAATCCTGGGTATCAGTGTCAGGAGCAGAGTTGAAAAAAAGTGGCCTTGCAGTTAGATAATTACGAATTCAGAACTCCACTGTGTTACTCATTAACTGCAGATTTGGGCTTCTGTTTCCTGATATTTGAAATCATGTACTGATGATACTGCACAGCTATTCTGAGGATTGGATGTCAATATGCTTAGGACATGCATCACATAAAGGTTTTTTTTTTAACTCTTCAGGAGTCATGGATTCACTTCTCCCTCACCGTGGGTACCAAAGGACAGGGCAGGGTGTGTGATGTCACATAGGGAGACCCTTGATGTTCTAACGCAGGACAGACCCCTGCTCTGTCCAGGTCCCTCGGTGTGCTAGAGTGTGTTGGGTGGCGAGGGGTGAGGGCAGGGGGAGGTGAGGGAAGTGGGGAGGAAGTATTTGCAAGCAAGAATAGAGAAGAAAATATTATTAATTTATATCATTTTGTTACCTTTGAGGCAAGCCTGGTCTCATCGCCTCATTTTTTCTCCCTCAATTCAGGCTTCTCAGAACTTTACTTCTTCAGGAAAAGAAGCCTTAGGAGGAGTCACTATTTCTTGTGAATCTGAAGTCATGGCCCATGTAAATCACTGTTTCGCTGTTTCTTTTTACTTCTTGAGATTTTTCTTCTTGGATTACATAAGCATTGTCATTCTTCATGCCAAAACTTCGTAACAAACAGAACTTTTCCTAGCTGCACACCACACACGAGCCTCAGCTTCTCCTGTGTGCCTCTTCTCTAACCTGTGTGTCCATTCATGCAGTGTCTCCTGTGTACTGTTTCTGTCTAGAGCACAGATGGAGCAGAAATGAAGCCCATAGAGGAAGTCTGGGCCGTTTTCCAACACCAACAATCAATTCTCCAGACACCAAGTGGGTGTCAACAATTAAGTTCAATTCTGACACTAACTGCCTGAAGTTAGCATCAGATTGTACAGATTTAGGGGTTCAGTCCTTCAGGACTGCTTCCACTTCAGCACCCAGCTGTAAGTCCTGAGCCACCTGTGCTTCTGACTGACCAGCTCTAAGTTGGCTGGTGTGGGGGACCTCTCACAAGCCCCTCCTCAGGTTCAGTGATTTGCTAGAAAGGCTGACAGAATTCAGGTAAACACTTTACTGACATTTACGGGTTGCTTTTAAAGGATACAACTCAGGAACAGCCCCATAGAAGAGGGCACGATATGGGGGCCGGGCACAGAGCGTGGTGCCTCTCCTGGTGCATTACCCTCCCAGCACCTCAGTGTGTTCACCAGCCAGAGGTCTGGATGGGGCTGACAGTTCCAGCCTTATCACTTGGTCCTTCTGATGACCAGCCCCCCTCCTGAGGCTATCTGGGGGCCCCCCACCAAAATTTACTTCATTAGCAAAACCCATGTCTGATAGGAAGGGGCTTGTTCAGAATTACCAAAGACATTCCTATCACTCAGGAAATGTCAAGGTTTTAAGAGCCCTGGGCCAGGAACATGGACAAAGACCAAATATACTTCTTTTTCTGTCCCAGAGGGAGGTATTAGACCATCTCTTCCAGATCTGCGGTATAATGAAAACACAGGATGGACGCCTTGGCCACACATGGGAAAGATTTGAAATTTTCCACAGACCTGTGTCTGTTGATAACCGGGGTTTAGTGTTGGTTGGGTTCAGTCTCATGATGTGGTTACTGCTCTCATTATTTGGGCCCTGCTTACAGATAGCAGGGAAATTTCCATGGAATCTCTGAGAGGTAAAAGCTCATAACAAGGTCCATTTTGTGGTTGAGTGGAAAGAATGAGTCTTGAAATCTTCGTGATTCTGCTATGCTCTACATCAATGTTCATATTTCACGAACAAGGAAGATGGTGGATTTATAAGCAAATAATCTAGATGCACAAATAGTAAATCATTGTACTTTACCACAGTTGAAGAAGGCTTAAAGATATTATCCAGCATGATGGTCCTGTTTTCTAAATTGTGTGACTTAGTTTAGTATATCCATCAGATTGTTATATAGTTAATAAAAATCATTTACTATAGACATTTATCAAAACAAGGATTAGGATATAATATGACATAATGATGAACTTAAGGTTTAAATAAATTCTTTAACTGCAAACTCATTCTAAAAATTTGTTTTAATTTTAATATTTTAATTGAAATATAATTTATATACAATATTATATTGCTTTCAGATGAACAACTTAGTGATTCATCACTTATATACATTACTGAATGCTCACCATGATAAGTGTGGTTACCATGTGTCACCATACAAAGCTATTACAGTATTATGAGCTATATTCCCTATGTTATACTTCCATCTCCATGACAAAACTATTTTATAATTTGGCATTTGTACCTCTTTAGCCCTTAACCGATTTCACCCAGGCCCACGGCTTCCATGGTAGCCAACTGTCCATTCTCTGTGTTTATGAGTCTATTTCTATTTGTTCATTTGTTTTGTAGGGTGGTTCCTCAAACAACTGAAAATATAAATACAATTTGACCCAGGACGTCCACTCCTAGAATTTACCCTAAGAATGCAGCAGCCCAGTTTGAAAGAGACATATGCACCCCATGTTTATTGCAGCACTATTTACAATAGCCAAGAAATGGAAGCAACCTAAGTGTCCCTCAGTAGATGAAGGATAAAAAAGATGTGGTACATATACACAATGGAATACTATTGATCCATAAGAAAGAAACAAATCCTACCATTTGTAACAACATGGATGGAGCTGGAGATAAACCAGGTGGAGAAAGACACTTTCCAAATGATTTCACTCATTTGTGGAGTATAACAATGAAGCAAAACTGAAGGAACAGGACAGCAGCAGAGTCACAGACTCCAAATAAGTGGCTCTCAGTTACCAAAGGTTGGGAGGGAGGGAGGGAGGGAGAAGGGGATTAGTGGGCATTATGATTAGCACACATAATGTAGGGGGCCCACGGGAAAGGCAAGGCTGTGCAGCATGGAGAAGACGAGTAGTGACCATAGCATCTTACTATGCTGATGGACAGTGCCTGCAGTGGGGTCTGGGGGTTACATTGATGATATGGGTGAATGTTGTAACCACAAGGTTGCTTATGTGAAACCTTCATAAGATTTTGTATCAATTATACCTTAATACAAACATAAAAAAATTAGGGAATTAATGGTATGGTAATGGTTGTAAAATTTTTTGAACCTACTGAAAGCCACTAAATCATACACCTGAAAATGGTGAATTGTGTGGTGTATGAATTGTATATCAATGAAAAACAGAGGCAGAGAGATTTGAGAAATACATTAATCAGATACAGTGGGCCTTCCATGAATCTTGATTCAAACAAAACAATTGTAAAAAAGGCATTTTGTAGGCAAATTAGAGATATTTGAATGTGTTCTGCATAGTAAATGAACTAATGAAAGAAATGGTGTTACTTTTGCTTAGCATAATAATGGTTTTGTGTGTTTTGTTTTTTGTTTACAAAGTCCTTTTCTGTGGGAGATAATTGCTGAAGTATTTGTAAGTGAAATGATATCATATGGTATTTCCCTTATAAATGTAAGTGGGAGATGGATGAAACAAGAATCAAAAATGGTGATATTTGTTAAAAATTAGTGATTGGTCTTCAGTTTCATTATACTGTATTCCCTCCACTTTTTAATATGATTTAAAATTTCCATAATAAACTGTGAAACAATAAAAAAGAACTATTTTAAATTTCTGTAGGGAAACACAGAAATTTTTCCTTATTATCATTAATGTCTTCTTCCAGAATAAAACGTTGAAAGAATAGGAAGTGGTTGAATAGATCATGGTTCAAAGGTAAAGTTTGTTGATAATGATTGAAATACACATGCTGTTCTGAATGGAGTTCCCCTAACCATTCAGTCTGTTCTTCTCTAAAGACATACTCAGGAGGGTTATAAGTACACCCTCCCAGAACCTCATTCCTCTTCAAATATTCTGGATGATTTCCTTCCTATTCAATTTAAATATGATAGCAAGTATGAAACTCTATGGAAAATAGGGAACTGATACTTATGCTATATATAAGAGTTTCATAGTAGCCAGTATTCTGTTTTACTTATTTCAAGATTTTGGCTTCTTTTGAAAATAATTTTGTGATAGATGAAGTCTGGAACTTTCCCAAGTTTAAACCATACACATATATTTTAAAGTTACAGAAATATCTATTAGAAGCCTAATTGTTTACACATCTAAGAGGTCTTCACACTTCCATTCCTATCAGAAAATGGACATTTTCTCAGAGTCTTGAGCTAAACATCGGGGATTCCATCGAGCAGTTGGAGTGAGCCTCCCAAGGTGAAGCTAGATGACAGTCGTGGAGGTGTCTTATTATCGGGCATTCAGACAACTGTGGGAGATGCATCTTCCAAAGATTGCTACGGGCAATTTTCCCTCAAGTGGCTCTTGTGTTAAGTGGCCTTGCCCTCCCTGTCACCACATGGACTCTGCCCTTCCCTTGGAGCCTTGCTGTCCCTGTGAGCCACTCCAAACCCCATGGGACAGAAGAGGTTTCCCTGGGACTGAGGAAATATCATAAATTGCTTTAGTATCCTGGGGGATCCTGGCCCACTGTCTGAGGATGTTCCCTTCAGAGCAGGCTTCATGCTACAGGAATTCAGCCCTGTCCCCACCACCCAAAGACACCTGACATCTGATGGAACTATGGAGATTTATGCCCCACAAGCCTGCATAGGTTCATACAAAGACACTTTCTGGGTGATCAGGCATCTCAGACGTGCCGGGGACCCAAATTTCAGGCACACTTCCAGGTTCTAGTCCTTTGCTTCCCAGGAACAGTGCCACAACAGCCCTCATTAACCTGTCCAGGGCTTTCCTGTGCCCTTGACACCCACTGTGGACCCCAGACCTCAGCTCCATCACTTCTTACTTCCCTGTGTGTAGTTCCTCTCTCCACCGCTCAACCCACCAGTCTCTGCTCAAATGCCCCCTTTCTCCAGGCTTAGTTACCTGCCCCTCTGTGACCCTTTCACACTCTCCTCCTCCCGTGTTCTCAGCACCTCCCTCTCTGGGCAGCACCAGTTTCCGCTGAGTTTGGGAAAATCTCTTCCACACAGGGAGGTCTGTGATACTGTGGCCACTACATCAATTCAAGCACTTTCAGTACAGGGTCCAAACAGCAGAATGGGTTCATCTTGGAGCCTCCAAATCTTCCTATGGTCACACCTGACATACTTATCACAGACCACACAATTTCACTCCAAACCCCTAATATTTGTCATTTTAGGCTACACAGTTGGATTTGTGTACCTATGGGTGAACTTCCCATTGAAGGTCCTATGGGGCATGTGGTCCATCACAGATGGACTCAACTGGAGCTGCTGGAGTTCTTGTGGGTGAGACCCCAGTTGTTCTCCATGTCATGGCCTCATGAGGACTTATGGGCAACATTAACTAAATACTTCCACCTACACTTTACACACCCTTAACAGGGAGCATGAGGATTTTAAGCACACACAGAACAGATGGGTATATTTTCCTCTTTAGAATGCAGCATGTAGACAGTTTTTTTAAATAAATGGAGGGATTAGGAAGCTGGGTGTAAATTAGGACTCAGATCACAATGTGGGTGCTCTCACCTATCTCACCACTCTGAGATGAGAGTTCTCTTTTGAAGGTTATCTTCAAATCTGGGAGCTGACCTTTTCCCCTTGCAGATCCAACACAAGCACTCTTGGCAACACACTGTGTCTAGTCGTTCCTTAACTGCAAAATAGCCACGTGGTCTCCACTGGCAGTTCGGGAAGACACACCAGAAACTAGCTCTGTGACATTTGTCCTTAACCTCGTCTGGTTATAAACATCTTGGCTCAAATTATCATGATTTCTAAAGTCCTTTTCCAGTTTAGAAATCATAGGTATATGTGTTCAGTTTTCTAAAATGTGATTTTTTTCCTTATTAAATGTACTTTGTCTGTTAGGCAATTTATCATATTTTGCTGCATTCAAATGTGGGGTTCAACCAGAGATAAAGTGCAGCTCATGTAAGATCTGCATATTTACAAGGAGAGGCCACTCAGCCATGTGCCTACTGGACCACTAGGACATTCATTTATGTCTTTATGGACCTCTTATATTTTGACTACACAAAAAGTTTATGATTAAAACCAGAAAAATTCCAACTTATGCATATGAAAATATTTTAAGAGATGAAATTTTACCATTCTTTTAAAACATGAAACTTCAGGTTATTTTTTAAAAGCTGGTTATAAAGATAATTAGAGAAAGGATAACATTTCACCTGTGAAGAATTTCACAGAATTCAAACCACACACAGATATCAATGATTCAAGTGTTTTGTTACACTTAATAAGATCTCGTAAATTTTAAGATAAAATTCCTTCAATGGATGTTCTGCTCTCAAAGAATCCCCTTAATCACTGCCATCTCACACAGGTGGATAGTTGCCCAGGGAGGCAATTCAACAGTGGTTTTTCCAGTCCCTGGCCATGTTTACACAGCCATTCATCCCTGGCCTGTACGACATCTGAAATACGAGGGGGTTCCCTATATATTCAAAGAATTGAACACATTTATCTTTATTATCAGTAACATATGAGATTTAACAGTGCAACAGAGGCCAAGATAGTTTCAGAAAGAATCAGGCAGTTCTTGTTCAAGTTTGCGTCCTAAACCCACATAACAGTCCTTATCTGCGAAACCTTTCACATAACTGCAGATTTAGAGACAGGAAATGAAACTCTTGGGGACACATGTTTCTCAGAATTAGGAAACTTTTCACATTTGGAAATACAATGAAACAATCTAAATACACTAGCAAATGAAATCAGTAACTCAACCTTATAATCCAACATTAATACATAAGAGTTCACCTTAAATAGGATAAAGAATTTGGGATTTCCAAATTGTGCTCAGGATTTGAAGCTCTGTATCTAAATATTGACTCCAAAAAGTGTTCCCTTTCAGTTTCAAATGGAAGAATTTTTGGCATTTTATATGTGTTCTTGACAATCCAATATTTATTATCATCTGATTCTGCTCCTTCATACCATAGCCAGCCACCAGAATGCCACGATTCAAGTTTTTACTATTGCAATGTGGACCATAATAAATGCCTGGAAGTAATAGTGAATGCTGTGTGAGGACCTCCAAGTCCCATGTGACAGTAACCCAGACTATCGACCACAGTAAGGAAAACATCTCAAAATTCAGTTAATGACATAGATCCAGGTAAAATTTAAAAACATTATTTTTAATGAAGGCTGGATATAGGTCCTCATCTAACACATGCAAATGTAAATTGGAGGAATCTTTTCTGTAAACAACTTAAGTGGCATATGAAACCACTCACTGAGATGTTGTTATTGTACTATTAGGATGTCAGCAGAAAGATATTTGTGTTAATGGGTTCTTTCCTATTTTAATTATAGTAATAAGATACTTTGGAAAACTTAAAAATTCTAAGAATATGTAAAAATTAAAAGTAAAATAAGCCAGTCCATTAAGTACACTTATGATGTAATAAAATAATGGGGATCTGGTTTAAGTGATGTCAAATGGAAACATTGGGGGCAAATATTATGGGTACAGAGTGAATAACTCTGTTAAAAACACACTGCCAAAAAATTCTGGTTTGAATTCTACATAACAAAGAATCAATCTTGCTGTGTGTAATGTGGTTTTCCAACTTTTCTGCCTATATTTCTGCATAGAGGTTGAATGATAATAAGGCAAGCAGCTTTACTTACCTTTGTATGATATGGATAAAATAGATCCAAGTCCACACCTCCGTTGCCAAGAGCATACTGGAATGCGTAATCCATTAGTCCACCTCTGCAGCCCTATTGCCTTGAGGGCCGAAGCATTCCGCGTGATTCTGCTCACTCAGTGGAACAAGTCTGCCGGTTTTCCTGAACACTTGTCCTTCAAGGACACCAGCTTCACTAAATGCCTAACCAGAAGCACAATGACCTGGAAACAAAAAGAAAAAAACCCCTCTCAGTCTACTAAAGAAATAGACTTTCACAACAACTCTTTTACCTGGAACACTTTCTAAAACTTAGTGAACTGTGCACTGTTTCACAGTGCACCAAGGCAAGCATGCCAGTTCGTTTCTGGCTTTATTCTCGGAGGCAGACCTGCTCAGTGCTGTCCTACCTGGTCCTTCAGAGGACTTACACAGCCTTTCTCCCTCCCGTCCACAGCTGGGGTGATCTCAGCAAGGGGAAGTTCTGGGAACACGTTCCCCCGCTTCTGCTTGTGCTTTATAATGCCAACCATCACCCACCTGAATTCTTCATTGGTCTTTAATCAAAAGGAAGTAGAACAGGAGAAAAGTAAGACAGTTTTTTTGTTAAACTGCTGAGGAGAGGAAGCACCCAAAGTTCAGCAATTGATGCCACACTCATCATGTCAAAAAGGCATTCATTGCCATGCAAAGCGGTGGCTCCCTAGGCCATATTCCTGATTGTGCCTGTCCATCATTTTCAGATTCTCCCATGCTGCTCACCTCCACCCTTCTTCATTCTGGGCAAACATATGACTCATCTTTATTTCTATTTAAAACAAACTCACCAGCACAACATGAATTTTCAGAGAGGAAGAGAAACCATGGCCAGGGTGCCCTTTATACCCCAGGGAGCTGATGTCCAGCACCCACACAATGGAATTTACCCCCACATTCTGCTCAGCAATGGGAGCCATGATTATCGCCGTGGTGAGAGCCACCTCGAGAATCTGCTCTGCGCTATAAACTCCCAACAGCACCAACCCCTGTCTGTGGGATCCCTATGGATAGTTTCAGCTGTTTCCAGCTTTGCCATGTAGTGTCCCATGTGCTGCCTCTCACTGGGCCCATGGAGCATCCAAGCCGCCGTCTACTTGTGGAGCACCTGAGGCTGTTTCCAAGTCCAGGAAAGTCAGGAGGAGTGAAGAATGTACATTTACAAACCTAGGAAAGAAAAAGAAATGAGTATCTGTTTAGACAAAACCTAACAATTAAAGGGCTATGCAAGAAACTAAAAAATGGTTCTGCTGCACTCCTTCAGCATATGCAACGGGGGTCAGAAGTGGACATACCTTGGGCTACATGTGAGGGATTAGGGTGAGAGTCAGTGGTTAATGTTCAGGGGTGAGGGTTACGGTTCAGATAAGTGTCACGTTATCCAGGTGGGTTCAGCATGAGGGTTCAGGGCTGGGCTTGGGGTTCATATTCAATGTAGTCTTTGTGTTTGTGTTCAGGATTTTGGGTTCACATTTGGATTTAACTCCAGAGTTCTGGTTCTGGGGTTATAAATCTGGCTCAGAAGTTTAGGATATTGGAATCTGGGGTCCAGTCAGGGGTAAGGATTAAGGTTTTGTTTGGGTTAAGTTCACTGGGTTGATAACATTATACTTAGATATAGTTAGATCGGGGCTTAGGGTTAGGGCAAAGTTTCAGTTTAGCTTTCAGTGTACAGTGGAGTGTGAGTGAGGGTGAGGGTGGGGATGAGTGTTATGTTCAGGGTTATGTCCAGGATTAGCTTTAGATTTGAGTTAGGGTTGGGGTGAAGGTATGGTGATGGTTAGGTTAGGATAAGGATTGTTTGTCTTTCTGTTAACAGTGAAGTGGAGGTAATGGTGAGGTTATGGTTTAGGGCCAGCGTTAAGGTTAGGTTTAGGGTTAAGTATATGGTGAAGTTATGACTATGATAGAGTTAGCTTAAGTGTTATGATTAGTTTTCAGTGTAGCCCCAGGCTAACAGTGAGGTGTGGGTGAGGATGAGGATGAGTGATATGGGTTGAAGGTTAGGGTGAGGGTGAGGTTGAATATTAGGCTCTAAGTTGAGCATTCTGATCCTTATTTTCCCAAGGGTAGTGCTGGGGTCAGATATGGGTCACTTGGATTTCCTCGAACACCCCTATCTTTTCTAGGAAGGAAGCTAGAGGACAGCCCAGGAGCATAACACACACTCACTAGGATTGATCAAAGTCCTTTCTCTATGAGCCATATGGGTCACTGTGGCCAAAGCACAAAGGATGCCTTGGTTCTGGGTGCCACTTTCTCTACAGGCACCTGGGAGATCAACCCCAATCTTGCCAAGGACCGAACTCACAGCTGAGGCTCCAGGCCCTGAAGGAGGTACCTGTTGTCCTCACAAGGCAGCTTCTGTGTCTAGGAAACATTCATCACAATTGCCACTGTGACATCATGGATATACCACAACCCTGGTGTTCATGTAAGTTCTCCATACCAGATGTCCTTCCCATTGGATGCATCTACTGCAGAGCCTTGAGAAGCTGCATCATCACAGTCAGCAAATAGCAGGGGTTCAGTCACATGTATGGAGAAATATGGCATGGCACGTCCAAATGCATGAACTGCAGGTACACATTCCACACCTCCTGCATCCACACAGTCACACAGACATCTATTCCTCTGGGTGTGCATCAGGGATCAGATGAGAGTCAATGGTTACCTGTCAGGGTTCCTGGAGGCACAGGTTAGGCCTGGATTTCATTTCAGGTGTTTATGGTGGGGGTTCAGCTGTTGGTTTCATGCTTCAGAGTCAGCCATGGGCTTTGGGTTCACTTAAGGTGGTTAGGTTTGTGGTTTCTGTTCAGGGTTTTGAGGATCAGGATAGGGCTTCTTGTACAGGGCAAAGTGTGTGGGTTTGTGTGTTCAGGGGTTGGTGTTCATGGTTTGGGTAAGGGATTAAATTTGTGGTTGAGGGTTAGGGTTAGAGTTAGTGTTGAGCTTGAGCTTTTTGAGTTAGTGTTAGGCTTAGTGTTAGGGCTGAGGTTTAAGGATAGATTTACTGGTAGGGTATGGGTTAGAGCTAGGATTACAGTGACATGTGTGAGAGGGTAAGTGTTATGCTTTTGGGTAACTGTTAGGCTTCGGATTAGAAGTAGGCATAGCTTTACAGTGATGGGAATCAGATAACGTGGAAGACTATCTCCAAGCTAACTTATATATGGTCCTCTCACTGAGATGAAATTTCAGCGTGAACTTGCCTCAAACATAGAAAACTGAGTGAATTGGGAAAGAATACACATTTTGCTGAACAAAATATTCAAGGACAAATTTTTATGTGAGAATTTAATTGCTGGGGAAATGAATTTTCATATTATTGGTTTCAAAAACAGATGTGCTCTTACATAACAATTGGTCCTAAGCCTACAAGGAGTGACAAGGGGCTCATATCAAGAAGTCTGCTAGAAGGATTCCTTCTCAGTAATCCAGGCAGTAATTCAGTTGCTTATCATTACAGTTCTAGGACCAACCCACACTACTTGAATCTAGGATCCCCTACACCTTCAGAGCCAGCAGGAGATATCTCCCTATCAAAAGATCTGTATTGGTCTGTTTTGTCCATTCTTTATATTTGACTGGAGAATTGTGAGGACACTTGTCCCACTTTGAAAATGATGGCAAATCTTCTTAAATCAAATGATGAGCCACTTGATACCACCTGCAATTTTGAACTCCATCTGGACTTTTGAGATGAGTTTGCAGTGGGTTTTCTCACCTCTGACACTGAATTTTTGGGGCACGGTAGTTGATTCTGTTGCTCGCTTCATTGTGCATTGTAGATGTTGCACAGCACGCATCTGACATTGCCAAATATCACCAGAGGCAAAATCATTTTATACTTGAGATCCGCAGCCCCAGAGTTTGAGAACAGGATGCATCCTGGCATAACTGCAAACAATTCTGCATCGTTACCCAGATGAGAACCCTTGATGGACAAGTCCACTGTCCAGATGAATTTTTGACGTGGAAAATGGGCTTCCTCAGAAGATCAATTTACAGAATGCACTTTTCTATAAATTCAATCCCATAATCAAATCACATGCCAAGATCTTTCGATAGTGTGTAAACATTTTAAAGTTGTGCCTCTTCAGGAAAAATCATATGATGAAAGGGGACTAAAGGACAGCCCCCAGCTGATATAACACAGAAATGGCTATTTAGGCAAAAGGAACATAAAGTCTAAGGAGTGCTATACCCCCACTTTTGAAGAAATCAACAAAGTTTTCCACTTTGTTGACTACAGAAACAGTAGGTTTCTGGGAAGACTGATGGTTGTGTGTCTACCCTAAGTGAGTGTTTGAAGATTGCAAGAAGCCTAATGAAAACAGGTTTCTCAGTCTGAGAAAAGACTCACTCAAGATATAGATCAGGTGTTAGCATTGAGACCTATGCAAGGCAGGAGAAACAGGAGAAAGGAAGAAACAAAAACAAAACCCCAAATGACTCCATTTAGCCAGCTTAGAGCCTAATCTGCTAGAAACAGAGATTTGGCAGGAAAAATTGCCTTTCCATTTTTACCAGGATCGCACAAGGAAAGCATGTGTACGTCAGAGTGGGATAACCAAGAGAGCCATTCACCTTAAGGGCATATCCAAGGAATTAAATAATGGTGTTGATACAGCCCTTCAGCATATGTTACTGGGCTCTGAAGAGGACAAGGGGGTTTCTTTCGATTCCTAAATCTCCAGGTGAGGTGTCTGGGTGAGAGTCGACAGTTATGCTTCCAGGTAAGGGGTAGGGTTCCCATAAGAGTGAAGGGTGCCACTTCGATTTGAATGGTTCAGTTTCATTGTGACAGGCTAAGGTTTGTGTTGGGGTTCATGTTCATGAGTTAAATTTGTGTTTGGGTTCAGAGTTTTATGTTCAGGATCTCATTAATCTCTGGCATTCTGGTTCATTGGTTAGAGTTCGGGTTCATGTGTTTGGGATTTCAGGGTCCAGCATCCAGGTTAGGAAAATGGGTTAGTGTTGGGCATAGGGTTAGGTATATGATGAAGATATTGTTATGGTTAGAGTTAATGGGATAGGTTTGGACTAGCAGTTCTGTTTAGCTTTGATCAACAGTGATGTGTGGGTGAGGGTGAGGATGGGTATAGTGTCAGGGCTGGGTCTTAGGTTAGATTTGTTTTATGGGTGCACTGTAGGCAAAG